ACTACGATTTGGATATCGTCTACCATCCCGGGAAAGTCAATCAAGTGGCGGACGCCCTGAGTAGACGAAAGGCAGATGTATCAGTTGCTAGGGAAGCTGAGGAGCTAGTCTCGATGGTAGCCAGCCTGCGCCTGTGCGCCACTACCATCGGTGAGCCGACCAACGGTTTGGAAGCCGTGGGTCAAGCGGACCTATTGGAACGGATCCGCGAGGCTCAGAAGGACGACCATGCACTCAGAAGGTTGATTGACCGCAAGGTGGATGGGTACCGCGTTGCGCTCGATGGAAATTACCTATTCTGTGATAGGGTTTGTGTTCCGAGGGTAAAGGATCTGAAGGACGAGATCCTGCGCCAAGCTCATCAGTCACGGTTTGCTATCCATCCGGGAAGCACTAAGATGTACCGGGACTTGAAGAGGTACTACCACTGGGACGGTATGAAGAAGGATGTCGCTATCTGGGTATCACAGTGTCAGACATGTCAGCAAGTGAAAGCAGAACATCAGGTTCCAAGCGGACTACTCCAGAACTTACCACTACCAGAATGGAAATGGGACATGGTAACTATGGATTTTGTCACCGGACTGCTGCAGACTACTGGGTATAAGGATGCGATTTGGGTAATCGTGGACCGCCTTACCAAGTCTGCGCATTTCTTAGCTATTAGAAAGACGGATGGAGCCGATCGTTTAGCTCAGAAGTATCTAGATTCAATAGTGAGGCTGCATGGAGTTCCAGTCAGCATAGTGTCAGATCGTGATCCGAAGTTCACATCGATGTTCTGGCAGGCTTTTCAGAAAGCATTAGGAACTAAGGTTCACCTCAGTGCTGCCTATCACCTCTAAACGGATGGACAATCGGAAAGGATGATTCAGACCCTCGAGGAGATGCTCCGGGCGTGTGTTCTTGACTGGGCGGGGATGTGGGGCGAGTACTTACCGTTAGCTGAGTTTTTCTACAACAACAGTTATCACTCGAGTATCGGTATGTCTCCATACGAGGCTCTGTATGGTAGACCGTGTCGCACTCCCCTCTGTTGGACTGAGGTGGGTGAGCGACGTGAACTAGAGCCGGACATGGTCAAGGAGACGGCTACGCAAGTGGAATTGCTTAAGGACAGACTTAAGGAAGCCCACGACCTTCAGAAGAGTTATGCCAATAAGCGTAGGAAAGATTTAGAGTTTTCAGTTGGAGATGAGGTCTACCTGAAAATGAGAACCTTCACCGGTGTGAAAGAGATTAGGAAGCTGAAAAAGCTTAAGCCAAGGTACATGGGACCATATATGGTTATTGAGAGAGTTGACAATGTGGCATATCGATTGGATTTGCCACAAGAGTTGTTTGACTTCCATAATGTGTTCCATGTATCTGTGTTGAGAAAGGTAGTTAGAGAGCCTGAGCTGATACTACTTGATCCGCCAGTGGATGTGAATGGAAACCTCCGGGTGCAAAGCACGCCTGTCTCGATAAAGGAATATCAGACAAGTGACGTTCAGGGGAAGGAAACCCAGATGGTCTTGGTGTGTTGAGAAAGAGATGTAATTAGTGAGGAGACCTGGGAAGAGGAAAATGACATGAGGAAATGGTGTCCTGAACTTTTTGAGGGTGCGAGGGGATCGCAGGGTGGTTACAAGAATTCGAGGGTGAATTCCTCTAAAGAGGGGAGAATTGTAACGCTTTGGATCTAGGCCCAACAGGGAAAGGAAAGGCCCATGTGTCAGAAGCCTGAGAGGAAAGGGTATTAGGATTTTCCCAGAGTCTTCCCTATATAAACAGAGCTAGAGAGTTAGGATTTCCATCACAACTCCCAAAGCACTTAGAGATAGAACCTAGGAACCCTAACCGAGCAAGCCACTGCCGCCGTTAATCTTCGCCGCAGACCGCCGCCGCCGAGGAGAGCCGCCGTCGTTCCGCCATTCCTAGCCGCCGTTTTCTTGAGTCTTTTGCCTTCCGTCGTTAGATCCCTTTCCCCCTTGCGCAGGTGAGCAGGAGCAGCAGGAGTGATTGGCGTGTGATGGTGGCGAACTGGTTCTTTAGTTCGGTCCTCGGGGTCCTTGTGACACTTAATTTTCTATTTCAAATGGTTTTCAGTTGGTTTTAAGACTTGATTATGATTTATTTAAGTTTAAGTTGGTTATTTGCAAGACTATTTGGATTTATATCTATGAAATGAGTATTGAATTGGAGTTAATGTTGTGATAATTTGGTTGGAAAGTTGAATGTTTAACACGTTATCTCATATGAGGAGAGGCGGTGTTACATGGTTCGTCATCAACAACGAGTCTAATGCCCTCAAGACTTTGTCCATGTCAAGTCCCGTGGTCGATGGATATAAGAAACTCAACTTTACCTATTTATCAAATTCAAAAATCCGATCAATATATTTCTGTTTAATGAGAGTTAATGGAATAATTATAAATGATTAGTTACCTTACTTGGCTATAAAAAAACTAAAAACTAAGATAACCATTCAATTCAGTTTTCGAAAGTATAAATTCTTTTACGTTCACATTTGATTCATATCTATGTGAGTATGAATCCGAGCCCGGCGTCGTATAGTACACCGCTTTATAAATCATACGGTAATTCTATTAATATATGCCCATAACCGCATTAGTACAACACACCATGCATACGTTACAAAACGTAACGCATTATAGACGTTATCTATACCATTATTTGCCAAGTGATTTTGGTGAATGGAGCTCTGTCATTCCCTTTCACTTCACTTCGAGGTTCCTCCTCGTGAACTGACATGGCGGCACAAACTATTCGGCATACGAGATTGGCCTTTGGACCCTCTTGTGAGCTCGAAACGTAAAATCTCGGTTCGTCTCTCTTGTGTTTGTTTCAAACTTATCGAGTGAGATTTTGTAGAAGAAACTATCTTCTTGCGATTGTATACGCGATTGTATAGGGGTCTCTCCAACTGTCAAATGGGCGGGCTGTCCATCGTCATGTCCAAATGGGAAAGCTGTCCAAAAGGGTTATGCCCAAATTTGTCTGCGATCAAATGCGGGCCTGACAGCATGGTCATTGGACAGTTCAAGAACTTTTAATTCTATTGTTTTTGTAACTTTTGTTGATTTGAAGAAAAATTGAAACATATGTTTTTATCGCCAAAAATGTTTTTACCGATGATTTTTTTCATTGATTTTCATAATAAGATATTTAAGTTCTGAGTTTTTTGATTCTGGATTCTTGGAATTCTATTCAAAGTTGAATTTTCATATTGATTTCTCTAAATATGGACTGACCGCGGACAGTCCAACTGGACTTGGTCATATTTGAACACGGTGACTTTTAGGGTGACCATATTTGTCCAAAAAAAGGAATATTTATTTGGACATGCCCATTTGGACGGGGACACGCCCATTTGACAGCTTTAGGAGTCTCGATGCTTGGAAATTTCCCAGAAATCGTAACTGTGTAATTTATATTGGTTTGGTCACGTATTAGGCCATGTGTAACTGTTGGGTTGAGATTTTTTTCTGTTTTTATCCAATCTAATATCTCATTGAGAGCAATTCACGAGAATGTTTGCATCTTTTAGTTGTGTGGTACCGACGCATCCAGAAGCAGAAATCTCAAAAAGCGAAGAAGCAAAAACCTCAGGCTTACAACTTCTTCCAAGTCAGGCAAATGCGGCCAGAAGAAGAGATAAACAAGCTCTCTCTGTTATTCATTTGTTCCCTCACATCAGATTCTATGGCTTTTATATTTATAAAACTTACTGAGAAGAACACAAAAGTGTCTTCTCTGATGTAACAATGTTTCAAAGACCCTTAGGCTATTGTTGGTTTCATCACTTTGCTTGCTATTTTGTCACCATATCCTTAGACATTAGATTAGACAAGGAAGAATGATAGGAAAAAACAAAAACAGAGAGATATTACTTATTGCTTTTGCGATTATGCTTGGATGAACAAGCTTTTGCCGTTATGAGCGTTTGCCTAAGAAACACTTTTTAGTTTAAAAATATCTAAATTTGCGTCTGCTCCTCTTTGAAATTTTCTTCACACATTATATAGTGTGAAAGCTTGGAAAATTCCTATTGAAGTTGTTTAATTATACTTTAAAAAGTTGGTTGGTTATTTGGCATTGCTAGGGTTATTACATATATATTATCTACCAGTTTCGCATGAAAAGTCTATCTTCAGCTTAGAAAATTATCATACTAGTAGTGTAACGACCTGGGCCCAGCCCTTTTGAATAAGTTTAAATGGATTGATTTGGCTACCTATGTCATCAAAGTGCACTTATCTTTTCGGTCACAGGTCCCGAGAGAACTCCACAGTTAAGGGTGCTTATGTTGGAGTAGGAGTAGGATGGGTGACCTTTCGAAAAATGATTCCCGAAACCGTGTGAGTGAGGCCAAAACACAGAGAAAGATCATGTGATGATTGCATGGTCAGTAAATAAGTCGATTGGGGTCCGGAAAAATAACGCACCGACCGTCAGACAAGGGTGAGGCCCACGGGCCCGAGAGAGGACGTGGGTGTACTCACCGGAATGGACCGTCGGGGGCGTTACAAGTAGTAACACAACTAAAAAACGTTCAAGAAGAATAAAAAGTTCCCAAATTGAAATCCAAAGCTTTAAACGCAATCACACATTCTCAAGATCAAGCAATGACCCGTGAGGTCTATTGTTGTAAGAAGTGGATGGCCAATACCCAATAGTCTTTCCTGTCTACCTTCTTTTTGTTAGATGCCCCAATAACAAAAAAAAAGAAGTGTACTTCTATATCTAGTATAGTTTGTGTAGTTAAATCTATGAGGATATTATCGACCAAGTTTGAGAACTAAGCAGAACATTCTTTTGAATGAAGTATGATTGGTGTTAATTGGAGAAGCTTGAGCTAATGTTGGTGTCTCGGTGATCACAATAATTCATCAATTAATAAAGATTGTCCTGAGTGATCTTAAGACATTTTCGGTAGGGAAAATTTTGAATTCTAGAGTCGTGTCTAAGAAAAAAATGTTATAACAATTCTCTCTCTCTTTTTCTCTACTGTCTCTGTAACTCATTTTTCTTCTTGCATCAGATTCTATGACTTTTACAATCTCTAAAGCTTTTGCGTTATGGGCTCTTTGCCAAAGAAAAACGGTTTATAATTTATAAATATCCAAACAAACAGCACATTTAAGGTCTTTTTGTCAATAACTATTTCTAAAGATTGGTCGTAAAAAAGATATAGTGTCAATCCGATCCAACATCAACCCCTTTATGCTTGAAGAAGTCCTTGGCCTCTGCAATATCCTGCAACCGACGCAATTAGACAAAAGACACTGAATTAGCAAAGATTCAAGAAATGTTAATCAACAACATTAGATTATACTACTCTAAACAGATTTGGCAAACAAACAGCTTGTCCGAAAATTACCTGCTGCAAGAGAGCTGCTTCTTGTGGACAGGTAGGGAACTGCATCAGCCCGAGTCCGACCATTAATAGACCATAGCATCCAAGAGATACTACAAAGTAGATCGGAAGCTGTAAAAGAAACCGGCGGAGACATTAACCAAATCGGAACCACAATCCTAGTTTCAAAAGGAGCAAGAAACCATCAAAGAAGAACATAATTTTCATGATTGATGAGTACTCACCAACCATGTATGGCTTCGAGGAACAATCGCAGCCTGCAAAAGACCAATCCAGAAGGCAGAGATTGCTACCAGCAGGCTCAAGATCTTTATTATATGCTTCATTTTTCCTTCAAAAAGAAATGCAGATTTGATTGATGCATTCTCTTAGAAGTTGTGGAGAATTAAAAACAAATTTCAATCAGCGAACTAATAAATCAAATGAACTTTTCACAATTTCATAAGACAAAGTTATCGATCTCAGGAATTTAGAAATCCAGAGACTTCAAACAAACATGACCAAATCACGTTAAATCCATTGCAACTACAATAGAACAAATCGATCCGAAAAGGGATATATCTCTAGAGAGTGAAACCAGATTAAACGTTAATCGATACAGAAAATCGAGTAGGAAATCGAATTTACTCACAGATGATAGATGAGATCCTCAACGATAAAATCAGATCGGAGCGGTGAGAGAGAAGACCCCCAAGTCACTTGCCGTCGACGACGATGAACAAGCGAGAGAATATGCGAATTTAACTTAAAACACACAATACGGCGTCGTATGGTCCAGACTTGTAATTCCTCCGGTTTAAATATCCTTAAACCAGATTTCGGTTCACCTTATATCGGTTTGAGACGGTTTCAGAACGAATTCAAACATATCAGAAGCGAGGAATTTAATTAAAGAACTTATGCTCCGGTTCACTCTATACGGTGTCGACCAAGAACATATCAGAGACGAAGAATTAATAACTGATCATGCTCTTCAGCCAAACAAGGTGAGTTGCATTTGTTATTCCTTAAGCAGGAGACAACTAAAGACAGGAAAAGAAAAACAAAAAAACCCATTAAAACTCGTAAAAATCCATAAGTACTTTTAAGTTCGATTCAAATTCATTCTTGGCTATAAAAATAAGATAACTATTTTTATAAGCACAATTCAGTATTCGGAAGTATAAATTACTACGTTCATTCGATTGATCACATATATACTATTATTTGCGAAGTAAAAAACGCACCACAGCTTCTCTTAAGGGGGTTAACGTCTTCTGTCCTTAGTGGAAATATTCCGAGTTAAATTAAGTCGATTGGTTTGGTTTGGTTTTTATTGATAAATCGATTGATATAGTAATCTAATTTTTAAACTGTTTTTCATACGTTTTTTTGTTGGGCTTTTTAAAATTAGCATCCAATGGACCGTTTAAAAAATTTGGCGGCCTCTTGAAATTATATTACAAAACAAAAACTCTAGATTTTTCGTATCTATATACTCGCATATATCTCATTCATCTAAACAACTGCTTAGGTTTATTTGTTGATTATTGATGTGTAGGTCATAGTTTAGGGTTTAGTTTTTTTGTTTCATGCATTATGATTTTTTTTCTTGCGTTCTGATTTCCTGTTCTTTGTGTTTCGATGTTCCACAAGTAACTTGCAAGCGAGGAAAGCTGTTTAGGTTTCACTGTTTCGTTTTGGTGATAGAACTTCAAGGCTTATATCTGTTGGTTGTTGTGGGTTCGGTTTGCATAAAAGGTATTGCTTCTTATGTTTTTTATCGTTTCGATTCATCATATGTTGATTACAACTAATGCTTTGTCATAAAATAGAGTTTTAATTTGTTTATTGTGTTGTTTTCCTGATGATGTTGCTTACTGTATTGTCTTCTGCGTTTTGGTTGTATAAATCTACTTTTGTTCTACCATATTGTTTTCTTTATGCAGCTAAATTTTGATTCTTTATACAGTCAGCATACTCAGATGACTATCTTGCCTTTCCATCTACCAAGAAACCAGAATAACATTTTCTCGGACGATTTTGCACTACCTGCTCCTGGATATTATTTTCAAACGTCTCAGTTCCAAGGTTGGATGGACTACAACAAACATCATCCTGAGTTGAGGCATCTTTTGTATACTGAATTCCCGATTTGGTTTGTTTGGCATAAGAACATTAGAAAATGGCTACTGCGGCGTCGTTGTAGGTCTAGGAGAAGTGGCGTAGTACTTCCCTATGTGAGGCCAGAAAGTGGTGAAATCTATTATCTCGGGATGTTGTTAGCTGTTGTCAGAGGAGCAACATGTTTTGAAGATATTATAACAATTAATGGTGTTTTATATCCATCGTTTGCTGGGGCAATTGGAGTCTGTTATGATTTGGGATTAGTCGAGCGACCTTTTATTACAAAATAATGATTATTCTGGTGTTGGGTTTTGCATTTATGTATTTTTTCTGGTGTCGTCTGTGGTTTGGGTTTCTATATTTTTGATATCTAATAAACAATAAACGAATCTTTTGTTTACTGTCTTATTATGTTTGCCATTGTCGTAAACCATTGTTATCGTCTAATTTATACAGTGTGGCTATGTGTTATTTTTGGTTTGTATGATTATGTTTTACTGAGGAAGACGAGACTCATCGTAATAGCTTGGTGAAAATATTATCGCTTGGGACGTATAAATGTTAATATGAGTACCTGCATGCGAATTTCTGGTTTGGGTTAGGGTTTTGTAGTTTTGGCTTTGGTGTAAACTTTATGCTATTTGTAAAATAATTTTGAGGATATTTGTATCATGCAAGATTTTGAGAATATGTTGTGGTGTCTATACTTTTATTTTATGGGTATACATGTTATAGTGAGGACATATAGATGCTAACGGTATATACGGTGAACAAAATTTTTGACTAGATAAATATCTAGGATTTTTCTTATGTGGCTGATATATGTGATATCTATTCGAGTTTATATTATATCATACAAAATTCGGAATATATTCTGTAACATGTATTATATATATATATATTAATGTTTTTTAGGATCTATATCCTTATCGAAACTGTTAGTTTGCAAGTTTTATCCATATCATACTTTCTCTAAAAAAGTTATATATTACTATTAAGGTTCGAGTTTATTTTGTACCATACAAAATTCAGAATATATTCTGTAACATGTATTATATGTATATATATTAATATTTTTCAGATCTTTATCCTTATCAAAACTGTTAGTTTGCAAGTTTTATCCATATCGAACTTTCTCTAAAAATGTTATATATGACTATTATGGATATTGATCTTATATATTGGAAAGTATGAAGTCGGTTATAATTAATGTCTAATTTTTATATCAAATAAAAATGTCAGGATAATATCGTGGCTGTGTAGAATATTGTCAATATACTGTATCATGTCTTATAGATATTTTAAATATTTATTCTAATATTTCTCTTTACCGATATTGTTACTTTGTGCATATTTTTATTAGTATTTGGAGAAAACAGAATATTGTATATATATATTCGAGAAATATATTGTATATTTACAAAGTTTTGGGAAATATACTATAATTTTATAACGTCGGTCATAATTAGCTGCTTGGTTTTGGTAATTATTTGCTATGGAATATTTTGTGATAATGGCATACCTTTTCAGAATCGTTAGCCTTAGATATATATATATATACATATATATAGGATATGTATATCTTGTAATTCTGGCTATAAGATACGAGGAAACACGGGCTAAAAATTTCTCTTTTATTTTGAGAGTTTACAGAAAGTTCTTTGTTCTTGGTTTGATATATACAAAGAGAATTTTCATTGTTCGAGTTGGACAATGTCGATTTTCAAAAGAAAGCCTGGTTCTTTGGTTAACATAAAAGATCTGACACCATAGACTGATCGCTATAAGATAAAGCTTTGTGTACTCAGACTTTGGGTTAGAGTTGGGCAGATGATGGATGTCGTGTTCGTTGATGCACATGTGAGTTTTTTACGTTTTTTTCCTGGTCAAATTAATGTCGTTTCACTGTGTTGCATCTTCTTAAATATATGTTCGATTAACACTTCTAACTAATTATCAAGGGTGAGCGCATACACGCTACACTTGATAAGAAGTGTGTTAAAAAAATTCAGGATAAGCTGGTTTGTGGTAGTGTATACATCATCGATACATTCAAGGTTGTTGAGTACAAGAGTGACTATCGGACAAATCGTCACCCTTATAAAATTTATTTTTATCACACCACGGAATTGAGTGATTGTCATTTTTCCGAAGACCATTCCCGAGAAATATTTTAAGACGTTCGGCGAGATTTTGTCTACTGATTTGGATAAGTCATACTTGATTGGTAAGTATTTGAAAGCGTTTATTATGTTAGTCACGTATCCATATGGTTGCTAAGTTTACATTTGTATTTGTAGATGTCATAGGTCAGGTCGTAAGTTTGGGGACCGTTGATCAGGTTATGGCACATGGGAAAATCAGCATGAGGCTTAAACTTACTCTTCGTTTACTCTTCGTGATATAAGGTATGTTAATTTGATCTGATTGTGATTTTTCTGATTCTTATTTATATGTGGTGTTTTCATGATGTGGTTGTAGTGATCTTTGTTTGATGTGCACTCTATGGGATGTTTATGCTACAGCGATGGCTGAATATGTAGCTGCAAATGCCGGCACCGTTGTTGTCTGTGTCATTAGACTTGCATGCATTCGAGAATATAGAGGTCTGTCTAACGTAATCTTTCCTGTGTTAGTCGAATATATAATGTCCTCTTGTGATGGGTTTATTAAAGTCTTTTTTAATAAATGTAGGTGAAATTAGTATCTCCAACTCTTATATCTCGACTGAGATTTTGTTTATCCGAACACGGCTCTTGCGAAGAGTTTCATTAATGGGTATGTTTATTTTGATTGTTGTGTTATTGTGGTCTATTTTTATATCCTGAGTTTTTATATTATATGTATCTAATTATTTTATTTGTTATTTCAGGCTGTCTGATGATAAATTTACTCTGGAGCCTTCTAATGAATTTGAGTCCACGGAGGTCTTTACGTCTTTGTATGATGATTTTTTCGTTAAGACTGCTTGGAAGTCTTTGAGAGCTGTACATGAGTCGACTGAGGTGGTGTTTGATATATCACTTTTTGTGGTTTTATTTATCGCTGGTCGGTTTATTTTGGTTATCATTCATATGTTGGTGTAGGTTCGGAAGTGCATTGTTATGGTCAGGGTCGTCTCTGTTGGTAACAATGGCAAGTGGTATTATATTGCTTGCAAGAAGTGCAATAAGAAGGTTTTTCCTTACCCTGATAAAGTGGATAGTCAGGGATTGCCATTATGGAAATGTAATGAGTGTGATATAGACGTTTCATCGGTTGTTGCAAGGTATTTTAGATGAACAGTTGTCTTTTCGTTTGGTACCATTTGTAGTTGTGTGAGTGTTTTAATCTTAATCGTTTAATCTTATATGCTTAGTTATTTCTTGGTTCTCGATGTTGCCGATTCGGAGGGGACTCCTTCGAAGGTTTCTTTTTTTGATAAGATGGCGGCTAGATTTTTTGATAAGACGGTGAAGGAGCTATATGAGGCGGTCGATGATGTATGTATTTATTTGGTGGTGTTTTGTTTGTGGTTTATAAATATTTTTTTATTTATGGTCTCAAACTTTTCTGTATTGTTAGGGAGACGATCCGGAGATGCCGTTTGCTATTAGGGATTTGATTGGCAAGGATATACTTTTCAAGATTTCTGTGACTGAGAAACATA